TTGAATACTGCAAAAAAACTTTTTACGAGACTTAAGGTAAAAAAAAAAAATAGAACCAAAATATTCGTCTTACTTCGCTCAAAATCTAGAATATTAATATAATACGTATTCGATAAACTAACAGCAAAAATTGTGAACTAATAAATATTTTGAATAACATAATGTTATATAAATTAGTATATATGTCGCATCCATATCGCGTTATTGTACGTTTCGCGAAATGGACAACGTTTGCATCCATTTCGCAAAATGGAACCGCGATTTCTCCACTTCACGTAATTACACAATATAGATAATATTTCGTGAAATGGATACCTAAACCTTCATCGATAGAACTTGTCCCGTCATTTGGATGTCCGTATAGCAAAAACTAAAAAAAAACTTTAATTTCTATATATTATAATATATTACAATTATTTTCAAGAAAATGTTCTACAAATATTATAATATTATAACACATTAATATAAACTATTATTTTTTTAGACAAGATTGTGTTATGGCAACGAGAATTACAATTTAAATTACTTTTAAAATAATCACATTTTTTAATTTGTCATTTGCCTTTACAATAACAGCTAAAAATACCTTGACCTCCAGTTAAAGAAGATACAATTTCTCTTAATACATTTATTTTGTCTTATTCACTTGCTCGATGTTAATGAAATTTGATGTGGCTGCTTGTATATTTTCAGAACCACATCAACCTTTTAGTATACTATGTTCAGTTCCTAAATGGTTAAGTTTATTTTTTTGGTCGGTCACTACACCAATAACGTTAACTGGGTCTACAGGACTTCTATCCACCTTTGGAACCGGGATTACAACACAGTCTCCAACTTTAAATGTTGGTATTTTGATCTTACCATCCTATAGCATAATGAAATAATGAATTATTTTAAGTAAATATGAAAATCAAAATTATTTTACCTGAAACATTTTTTCGGCTTACTTTTCTATTCATATAGCTCCTAAATGACGTGCTTCCTTAATTTTTATATTCTCCTCACATAAGTTACATAAAATTGCTTCGCCGGAGTCCGCTTCCATACAATATAATATTTGTAAAACATTTATTTAAAATTAATAATTTAATTTAATTTTTAAAAATAAATATAATACGAGTATATAGAAATTAAAGTTTTTTTTTTAATTTTTGCTATAATATGGACATCCAAATGACGAAACAAGTTCCGTCGATGACGGTAAACATCAATGGTGCAATTAGAACTAGTTTTCAGGAGGGGTTGTGAATGGGGGAAAAAATAAATATTTTTTGCAGATGTTTGGTGGGGATAAGAAAATAAGATTAAGTTAGGTTTATGTGAAAAATATTTAAATTACAAATTAAATTACTGTTTAACTTCTATTTCATATTATGTTATCACAAAAAAAGTATTATACAATCGACTATCGAGAAATTGTAGTAGCAAGGTTATTGATGTTTTAATATTGATCGGAACATTACAAAACGTTCCATATCGTCATGTTATTATTGTTATCTATTATATTACGAATAATATTCATATTTCATACCGATCAGCCGTTTTGCGTGTTAAGATAAACCATTTTTTTTCCTTACGTAGAATTTGTAAAAATCTCAGAAAAATTTCGAGGAGGGGGTGGGTTACAACCTCAAAACCCCACCTCTAGTTGCGCCATTGGTAAACATAATAATTTCTATTAAAGTACCTATTTGTAAAATATTTTCTTAAAAATAAGCATAATATATTATAATATATAGAAATTAAAGTTTTTTTGAATTTTTGCTATACGGACATACAAATGACGGAATAAGTTCCATCGATGATGGTTTAGGAATCCATTTCACAAAATATTATCCATATTGTGTAATTACGTAAAGTGGAGAAATCGCGGTTCCATTTCGCGAAATGGATGCAAACGTTATCCATTTCGCGAAACGTACAATAACGCGATATGGATGCGACATACGAGTATACATGGCAACGGTAGACAAATTAATACACTGGTAGTGATTTAAAATGTTAAAAATAGATTTCGCATTAATATCATGAAGGACTCTATTATTTGTATACACATTTCAATCAACACAATGCGTACATTTATATTTCTGTTTGAATAAGGAAAAAAAATATTAATTTATCTAGACTAAAATTACAATTCTAATACTGATTGTCGATATGTAATGAATAAATGTTAAAATTTGTATATACAAAAGAAATAAGCATACATTATTAAAACTAATAATATGGTTTAAATTTTTAAAAATGTGACTAAAAACAATCGTATGACTTTTATTATTTGACATCCGATACGGATCAGTTGATTGAAAAGATATGTTACAATACTACTTACGGCAACAGATGGATCAAAGTCGGAGTTCACACCTCATCAGATGTGTGGTAATATTTCATTGTCTAGGGCGCGCGTTAGATCTGGTGCACGTCTTAACCCCTTATAGACAGAAGACTGACTGACATCGATCGACATTCGATTGGTGTTCGTAGGGATTTGGCGGAAAGTAATTCTTGCGGAAACGTGTTTTCTGCGACAGGCCAAGTGAAAGCCGGTATTTTGGTGTAAATCGCAAAACCGCAAAGTACTACTGCCAATAATAAGATTACGACAATCGAAACGAGAGATGGACACATATAGTTAAATAAATCATGTCGGCATTAAAGTTGTAAGAACTGTAAATAGCTTTTCAATATACATACACACATACTTATATACTTATATATACTCATTATATATACTCATATATCGTTTTCTACGTATCAGCGTTATTAACAAAAGAAAAATATAAGTTTTTGAATTGTGAGATGAATTGACGTTTTTATTTAATATTTTTTTTTAAACATCGAAATACTTAATTTTCAATGATTTTTCAAGATAACGAATGGTTAATACTCTTAGCTTACTCGAGTGATATATTTTCACATTTAAATGACTTGAGTTTAAATTAAATAATTTTAATTTACTAGACCGTAAAAATAATTTTCTTCTCATGGTAGACAAAGTTAATGCTTTTATCAAAAAAAAAAAAAAAAAAAAAAAAAACAGTGATTTAGAATATTCGCTTCGAAAAACAAAATTTTAATGCATTTGATTTAAGTTCAAATTACATTGATGAAAATTTAAATTTGAATATTCCTATTCTTTATCGTATTTTGAACACTATGTACCTATACATATTTGAGATAACTAGATAACTATAATTCGGTCACTAAAATATTTCTCAAATGACAACGATGAATACTCGAATAGATGGGTTCTTAATCCATTTGATTAAAGCATGTATGTAGTTGCCATATTTCCAGTCGATAATCACAACCAATTTATAGAACTATTTTTCTGATAAAATAGTATAACTACAATTGTCATCTAGATTTAAATACGTTTTGATTCTCTCAACGAAATGAATAAAAAAATCTAGTAACGGAGGCATTGAAAACATTGGTTCCATTCGTCACTTCTTATATATACAAAAAAGCCTTATTTTCCTAGTAGCATTAAAAACTAAATACAAAATTCGTTTGTTATCATTAAAAAATAATTTACTTAGATGAGTTTCCAACGTCGAATCACGACTAAACAAACTTTTGAATATAAATCAATCATAGTTATAGCATTAATATTTGCTTTTTACTTTATTATTTTTGTATATTATTGTATATTTATAATATAAACTAATTTTTTTTTTTTTCATTATGGTTATGTATTAATTTTGTATTTTTAATATAAATAAAAGGTTGTTTTTCTATATCAGCGTTAATTTATATCTGAATGATACAACTTTCGAGTTGAGAAACGCTGCTACACATGATTGAGAAAAATACTAAACGTATATATATGACAACTGCAATCATCAATATGTTAACACACGGTACATTGGTATGAGTAAAAATGTAATGTATGATGAAGTACATGTTTGTGTAACGATCCACATACCTAGGCTGTGTTAAAGTATATTATTATTCTATGGGACAAAAGTAATATGGATCGTCGAAAAAAATTATTAGAGCTGTCGGGGAAATGTTTAAGCTTGAATTGAACACAAAATACTATTATCATTTATTATTTCAATGATACAATATATAATAATATTAAACTGTTAACCAAAACACACATTTCGAATTGTTATTAGTATCAGAAATTGCAGTATACACATTTTTATTATTTTTACTTTTAAAAATAGACAGTTTTTCGTTACGAAAAATTAAATTTATTTTCATCGATTGTTATGGATTGAAAAGGTTTGCTCCTAATGCCGCATAGTTTATAGTTAATGATATTCATGACTTTAAATTTTTTACTGAAATTCTGAATAATTAAACCGTGTATGCGTACCTATGATTATTTTTATTTTCATACTTAATATACCTGACTACATTAATACACAAAGTAAAAATGTTTCCATTGGCAGGCATGCCGGACAGCTAAAATGTGTACACAGCGCATGTGATGTATCATGTTACAATAAATAAAATTAGATCTTTGAAGGAGTTATGTTAAATTAATATTTACTCGTTTTCTTTCTGTAAAATAGGTAAACGAAGCATCAAACAACTGTGGGTATTTAAGAATTTTGTATTATGTTTATGTTACGCGTTTGCTATAAAATGTAAAATTATTGTTTGTTTATCATTATGTATCGTAAGGAGTCCAAGCGCTTTACGTCTCCCGATGATGAATGTAAAATGATTACATTTATTTTTTATTTTTACTCCAATAAAACATTAACATAAATCCGTATAAATTGCTAACACGCCTTCGCTGGCTCTATCCCGCGTTGTAACAAACAATAATAATAATAATAAATGTTATTATAAAGTTACGCAGTCTTCTAGTCGAATAAATGCCGTTTATTACTACGGTATAAGACCACGTGAAACTCCATAACCCCACAAGCTGAAGCACGTTAACGATGTACATAAATAGTATTATTATCTGTTTTGGAAATATTATAATTACTACAGGTTCGGCCGTTTGTACATCTGTTTAATTTCTATGTTCACAGTTGGTGGTTGAAATCAATAGCCAAGTGGCTCAGTTCCGGGAACTACTGGTGCACATCGGTACGGCTCGAGATTCGCCGGAAACAAGAGAAAAAATTCGAAAGTTACGAAGAGGATGTGTGGATACATGCAAGCACACCAGTCAATTACTCATCCCTCAGATGAGAGGGTAAGTTTTGCACTTGGATTCAAGACCCTTTGTTAATATTAAAATATATATGCACGCGTATGGGGCTCTGTGTAAAGGATTTTATAGACGGATGGTTACGAGAAAATTAAAATTAAACACAGGTTTTGATTGGAGTATTGCATGGTAAAAATTTTTAAAAGTAAACTATTCTTGTATCGTAAAACCAGTGGGTGAAAAAGTTCTCAACTTTAAAAATGCACACGATAAACAACGTGTGATATTATTTTTAAATATCTCTTTATATAATGTTTACTGTGATCACCGTTTGACAAATTGTCAGTTAAAAATAGTCCTAAATATCGATATTTATTTACAACTAGAAAGTTTGATTGATTTTACTGACCAGGTCAAAGGTGATAAAATAAAATCTGTTGGTGAATCTCATTAATCTGGATCTCGCCCTTGACCGTAAGTCATACATTTTAATCTTATGTTAGATCCAAATTGCTATTCATATTTTATCTCAAGGATTCATAATGTACTGTAATGTTTGTCATTATTTTTATGTTCGAGTAAAAAGATTATAGTAAACAAATTAATACGAGTTTAGCCAATGGACTTTTAAGTCACGACAACATTCTATTTACGTATGTGATAAAAAAATTTAGTACTTATTGAGTTATTTTTCTAGTTGAATCAACAATTAAACCCATTTATATTTATTACAATACTATGCTTCATATTTACACGTAATTTATTCACTGAAATCGTCATATTATTATTCTAAGAGTGTAAGAGCACTATCTTGTCGTGACAGATCTGCAACGTCCGAGAAAAAGAAAGTGAGATACTCGGAAGAGTGTATTATTATTATTATTATTATTATTATATATGAACTCTATGTGTTGTTGACGGCTCCGCAATCGTTCCTTTTTCAAAATCTAGGAGAGCAACATATTTATTCTCACGCCTGGTTAAAAAATAAATAAATAAATAAATAAATAAACAATATAATACAGCTTGCGTATTATACATACTTCGCGGGTGATCGATATTTCTCGTTAATTTATTCGAAAACAAACTGAATAAATTATAGCTACATTTCTTGTACAGCTTATTCCTGTTGTAGTATTTTAAAATAATTTCTAGCCGAATCATATACGTTTTTCTTGCACGAAATCAGTGAACAGCGATAAAAATGATTTTAAACGGAAAAATGTATCTTAAATTTAGAAAATATTACTGTTTATTAAATATCTGAAAAATATTTTTCACTGCCCCAAAAATAAATGTTCTTAAATTAACCATAAATTGATATAATAATACTTAAATAATAAATAATATATAATAAAATAATAAATTATATCATAAGGAATCGGCGGGAATACGCAGTCTACAGTAGTAGTATTCGAATTATGGTGAAATCAATTACATAGAAAACTTTAGATTTCAAAGTTTATACACAATTTAAGTGCACAATGATCAATAAATAATAAAAGGTACCGGGTCGTATAGGTTAATGGACTTGATATTATGAATAACGTCGGAAACGTTTTGCCGTGCATGAGTATTCAGGTAAACGGTCCGTGTTTGATTTGAAATCAAACCGATTCGGCAAAAACTCTAAAAGTTTAACTACAATACGATCAGTTAGCTAAATTCAATTGTGGTTCATTTAAAAAAACCTGATAATCAACAATAAGACATACAAATACAATGTTATCGAAATACTATTAATAACTATTGATTCGATCGTTGCGATACCATCTTAACATAGACTATGACTCTTTCGGGAAATTCATTTTGGAAAATTCTAACGATTTCTGATTTGAAGTAATTATTAAAAATATCATAAATTGATTTCTTAAATTATTTCAAAAATTACTCGTTCCAAAGATATTCGTTAATTAAAACACTATCATCTTTAATATTATTTTTCCATACTGCTGAATTTCTAGTTTATTAAATCTTTTCATCCATATTCACAAAACACATTTTGGTAAGACTATTTCACTTCTTGTATTACGTTATTTCTATTGAAGCGAAAAATTAATTAGTAAACGAATTTAATTTCAAGTACAAATTCTTTTATAAAAAATTACTTGTTTAAACGTTTCGGGAGAAAAAATATGAAAAACATGACGGAATATTAAATGCTCTTGGTTAGGCACGAAGCAAAGCAAGAAAATATTTGGTACAAAATCCTTACTGTAGTCATAAATCATGTTTCTCCCGGACACAACGATAAGTAAAATTTCAAGTCAGCTAAGAGAAAAATTATTCTAAAATGAAAAATAATGAAAAATAATGAAAGTTATATACTTTTAGTGATATTTCGGACTAATGTTGTATAAGTAAAGTATAACCTGTTTCACATCATATAAGTGTATAAAATACACTGTAAACCGTGTAAATAAAATTATCTAATGCAATAAGGTTGAAATACTTGGATATCTCAGTTTTTATGCTTTTCTTACTCTTTGTAATTTTACGACATTTAAAACATAAAAATATACTTTTTACTTGACTTTTTGTTAGTTACCAAACGTGACAGTTACTATACTTATAGAATAGTTGAATGGATAATTGAGATTAACGGTTCTTTAAAAAAAAAATCCGGGATTGTGTCTAATAGAGATAAAGTTTCGTGTATACCATAAGTAATCTATAAATATTTTAACAGTAGACATTAAACTAACAGCATTGTTAACTTTGACTTTATATCTAAAAATGTATGGTCTGAATAATTATTAATTTACAACACTATAGTTCACCTAATCGTTTTGTTTATTAATTGATAATCACGGCGATCATGGTCATTAGTGTTAATTATTATTATTATCATACATATTATTATAACGATAAGTAAAAATATTACTATAACGATCATTAATTTAGGTACGTGATTTTGTTTTAAAAATTTTGAAAGCTCTCGAATTTTAAATAAATTCTTAAATAGTCTAATTCTAAAAGTTCACATATTTTCAATCCAAATACTTGCTTTGATGAAAATAATGAAAATAATACAAATTGGCTTTCTCGAAGTTAGTTTAAAATTTGCAATACTTGTCTACAACAGAAATTTATTCAAAATAAAAGGTCGCAGAATTCATATGGAACGCGATTAAAACAAGATATTACTTTTAACGGTATAGCGGAGTGTATATGGTCAGTTTCATTACCTCAGAGCAAAAGAATTCAATCAAATACAACCTATTTAGATCCAAATCATTATTAACTGTTTTGTGAGTAAGTGTAAACAGTTAAAGTCGTACAACTTCAATTAGCGCATTAATGAACAAACCGTGTAGCAGAGCACATATGATTGTACGTAAACAAATGGATTTTTGTACGCATATAATATTAACGTTATTATTATTATGCATGCATTACAACCTCTTTTGACCTTTGTAAACTTAACTTTCAAAGAACCTAAATATATCCTGTTATTATGCGCGCAAAATATTTGTACCAAGTGTTAAAACGAGAATATAATATAAGCTTGCTTGAAGTAATAATTAACATAAATCGCTATTATTATGGAATCCCTAATAAGAAACGTTAATTTATTAAACATATTAAACGTTGACTTTGTTCGCCATTTATTAATTGTTATACATTACACTTTATTGTTTTTATAATTGTTAGTAGCCCGGAATAATCTAACAACAATAAGATCCTAAACGATTAACACAAGACGATGTGGCTTAATTTACACACGCTTCAAGAACGATTTTATGATTAATCATGAAATATAATTCGGGTCTCATTTTCAAGACATTAAATTATTAAATAGTGTTTCACGGTCGTTTAAATATTGAGTTTGGAACGATACTGATGGAATCCATCAACGTTCAAACAATGATAACTGCAGATACACGGTAAACTATACTTGTATAAGACTCGTATATTATTTAATATTAATGATACCGTGCATGGTACGCTCTTAATTCAAATTAATAAAACATTGATGATTTTGTCGGTTCGCAATAATATTAATAATTAAAATAATCTATTGCATCTAACGGTACAGCGGGTGGATTTTACGTGGAATTAGCACTCACACAATGACTGAAATGTATTCGATAGAAAAAGAGCTTCGGATTTCATCATAGCGTATTTTGTATTGATTTTTTTCTTGTCGTAAACCGTTTGGTGGAAGAAAAAAAAAACATATTTTATACTCTCAAGAACCCCACTTCCCCCCACCACCGTTAACCTTACTGTATAATATCCTCGAAATTCTCAGATTTTGTAGAACCATATACCTATTTGTAAGAGAGCACCACACTCCTATCCTTCTCCGGATACACCACCGTGTAGTGGTGCAATATTGTGCAACTACTATCGTTTGACGTTGATCGATATAAATACAGAATAATCGGATTTCGAATATAGTTCCAGATCAATTAAAACGTGCGTTAATAATGATAATTTAATCTCAATAATTTGAATTTATATTAATGATTTCCCTATTCCGCGGCTTGACTGTAAAAATCGTACACCTATTTACCCACAGCATAGCGATAATGATACTTGACGTGTAATACCCAATTGAAGATACCGGTGAAGTAGAAACAGCCTGTTAAGTATTTTTATGAGTATCCACACATTTTTGACCCCAAGCGAAATCACGATAATAGTTTGGCACGATGGCACGACTTTTTTCCATGATCAAACTTTCGCTTAACAAAACCGTGACGAAAAGTTCAGTGTGGTATTTCATGCGGTCAAAAATTAGATGAGCAAAGTCATTTTTCGGTTATCCTGAAAATTGTTTACCTATCTGGAGAAAAAAAGAAATAAGATAAAACTTTATAATTGATTATTTCATGGAGTCAGCGTGTTTTTATGTTTATACTGCTTTTAATAAAAAAATGTGATTTTAAGTTAGGTTTATAGTTGGAAAACCGAACGTAAAGCTTATTGCAACAGCTATAATATGCAATTATGTGCATAACATGTTTATTTAGTGGCGAACTGAACTTACGCCAAGGACGCGAATTTCTAAGTGGCGCAAAATTGTGCAAAATTCATAT